TTTACGTTGGGTTTGGATTATTGAGCATGCATCAGGAGGACATACTGCAACCTGGGCCCTTACTTGCAAAACATGACAATTAATTAACTCGAACAAAAGTCTTTTTGGTGTTCCTGCAGCTAAATAGTTCCTGCACTGTCACTTTAAACTACACCCTCCAACCTCTAGTCTTTAAATAACTTAATAGGCCTAACTCCTCCACACCACCCACCTTGATCTTATATATATATATATATATATATATATAATTTTTTTTCTTTTTCTAGCTGCCTACTTCTGTATATTTTATTCTGTATTGCACATTATTGATTTTTTTTTTCTATGCACTATATTGAGACCTTGTTTATTTACTCATTTTGTGTCTGACAAAAACATTCTTGATTCTCTTTAGAGGTACCAACAGAGCTATTCCCACTATTTTGGATAGTTTTGTAAAATAAAAAGCAAATTTCTTTTCACATATTTTGTTTAGTACTTCACATACTCATATAGTTTGGTCTTAGCTGACATTAGACATGAACTGTAATCTGAAACCCTTTTCTCAAGAGAATGATCTTTGTTTCAATGAGCTTTACGAGCTTCAACAAATTTATCTCTCTGCATGTCCTTTGGCAATGTTGCTATATCACCTGACCTTCTTTTGCCATTTATCTAGCTTCTAACTTTTGCATTGATTAACTTGTTGAAAACACGGTCCTTGCCATCATTATAACCCATCCATCCATCAATCCATTATCTTTACCCGCTTATTCCATTTTGGGTCACTGGGGTCGCCGGTGCCCATGTCCAGCAATCACTGTGCGAGGGGCGGGGTACACCCTGGATGGGTCGCAAGTCCATCACAGGGCCACAGAGACAAACGAGACAAAAAACCATTCACTCTCCCACTCACACCTAGGGACAATTTAGAGTTACCAATCAGCCTAACATGCATGTTTTTGGTCTGTGGGAGGAAACCGGAGAAAACCCACGCATGCATGGAGAGAACATGCAAACTCCACCCAGAAAGGCCCCTGGACTGGGGTTTTAACCAAGAACCTGCTCGCTGAGAGGCAGCAGCTCTACCAGTTGCGCCACTGTGCTGCCCACTTTGATTTTGTTTTAAATCAAAATAGTTTTTAATTTTTACCTACATTGCAGACATCTCTTATATCTGAGCTCCTGACGAGCTGCAGCAGTAAAAACCTCTGACAGAGTCCACTATAGTCCTGTCTGTATGAATGATGCTTTCGGTTTCCATGGAAACCCAGATTAATACGTCCCCTGCCTCTCTCTCTCTCTCTCTCTCTCTCTCTGCTGTCTACAGTAGTCTCTCTCTCTCTCTGCTGTCTACAGTAGTCTCTCTCTGCTGTCTACAGTAGTCTAGTCTCTCTCTCTCTCTCTCTGCTGTCTACAGTAGTCTCTCTCTCTCTCTGCTGTCTACAGTAGTCTCTCTCTCCCTCTCTGCTGTCTACAGTAGTCTCTCTCTCACCGAAGCGGCGGAGGTTACTTTGCGCATGATCAGCCTCCCGCGCTCAACACTGCACGGACACCAAGATGGCGAAAACACGTCTGGCTTGTCTACTGACTCTCTTCTCAACTCACTGTAAGTAAAAAACAAAACGCTGTTTTTCACCTCCTTATCTTTCCCCGGAGTTACCGGCGAAGGTTCGGAGCTCCTGCATCAGTCGGGCCGGTTCTGTTCGCTGGCGTTTGGCGAAAAAGCCCGACTGAGAGAAACTATCCGAACCGTTAACTCTGAAAAAGTGACTGAGCGCGAGCGCGCTGTCCCCCCCGACTACTGTGTAGCCAAGCTGTAAATACTCTTTAATATAAATATAGTTTTAGAGTGTAAAGATATGGAGTATAAAGTAGTATTTAGAAGGTGGTTTTTTTTTTTTAGTTTTCAGCGAAGATTTTTGCTTTAATCCGCTATTGTTTATGGAAAACGTCACTTGTTCCCCGCTGTTTGATGCAAGTGTCATAAATAAAATGTCCGTGTTGAGCTGTTTCCACTCAACACGTTCGGTGTCCGCAAACAACCAATCAGTGAACTTTGGAGCTCCTGTGTGAGAATGAAGCACAATGATCCACGGCTTGGCACCTGGATGAGCCTAAGAGACGGGTGATGCGGGACAATACCGGCTGGGTTTGTCTTTTTCTGCTGGCTGACCGGAAGGAGCTGTCCCGACGGACTCTACTTCCGCCCTGAGCCTGTCTCGTGATGGACACCTGTCTGATCTGAGCTGCCAGGCGCTGTCTGTTTGGAAAATATCTCGTGAACCAGTGGACTCCAATAAAGTAATCTGTGGATGTACAAGCAGCTGCCACTATCAAATATTTTTCATTGTACGGTAATTTTTTTTTTTTTAATCTAAATGACGTTTTTCTCCAAAAATCAAAATCATCAGTTTTATTTTAGTTTTTAACAGTCAGTGCTGATATTAACAGCACACCAGAAGTAAAATGCAAACAAAGACTTGCGAATTAAATTTGAAAATATATGTTTATAGTTTCAAAGCCAGCATAATGAAATAAATAATTGTAGCTCTAATTAGTAATGTATTTAAAATAAAAAGCCTAAATATCCATTATATTGTAGGATATTGCTCTTTAGAACTGCATTAAACTGTAGTGAGAAATCCTTCTTTTGCAGGGATTCAGTCCCATTATTTACCTTCAGAAAGGTAAAATTCTAAATTCTAGAATTGTGCCGCTCAAGGTGGCTGCATGTTGGAGCAGCTCTGTTACTTTCATTCTGACATTTTGCTTTTGGAATCGTTAATTCCTCTTTTTCTGGATGTAAATCACATTTTTTGGATGATTGTTTCCTCTGGTATCGGATGCTGTGCAGCTGGAAGGATTTTTACTGAAACTTTTTTAGTTTTGGACATTTGTTATGCTGCGTAACCATGGCAACAAGGCATTTTTCTACAACCAACAGCAGCTGATTAACATCTCAAAAGCTCAAATAATATCTCAACTACAGCCCCAAATCTCAAATGAGTTGAAAGGATGTCCTATGGATGCATTCTCATCTACCTGCCAGCTGTGCTCGAGTGCCTGACCACTGAGATCCTGGAATTAGCAAGAAACATGGCTCATGACAGCAGAAGGACAGGATCGTCCCTCAGCACCTACAGTTGGCTGTCTGCAGCAATGAGGAGCTCGGCAGACTGCTGGGAGGAGTGGCCATCGCTCTGGGAGGAGTTCTGCCTGGCATTCAGGCGGTTCTACAGTCCGGAGGAACCGAGAGGCCAGCCGAGTCTGGGTGGACGGATCGGACGGCATCTGCAGCCAGTTTCTTAGGATCCACTGTGGGATGAACCTTTACAAGAGATCCTTCCTGCCTACAGCCATCAGCATCTATAACATCTCTTAATGAAATTAGGATAACGAGTTACAACAACAAATAATTTCCCTCTGGGATTAATAAAGTATTTTTGAATTGAATTGAATTGAAGAGCAGAGAAACAAATACAAATAAGTTTGTCTCAGTCTGTTTGTCTGTCTGTCTGTATGTGCTTTTTAGATCCTTTGCCTATTCAAACACAGTCAAAGCCTCATCTGTTTTATCTGCACAAAGTTTTAAAAATTGAACTGTATTTCAGATGGAGCTGACAGGAACTTGACTAACAATGTAGACTAGCAGCATGCAGAAAAACTGCTGAAATGTTTAAGAAAATAAATAATAAGTTAACAAAAATGTAGTCAACTAAAAATATTGATGCAGACTAAATTATAAAATTAATTATATTGATTTGATAGGATATTCACAGCAGCCCTAGATTGTCCATTTACAACTGATTAACTTTTGGAGTCGACTCAATTTAAGATGTCCGCTACAGATAAGTGACCTTAGCCAACACATAAATGACTAGAACTCAGTAAGTTGTACAGATATTAACCTAACATCTGGTGTAGTAGTAGGTGAGAGTAATCCTCAACGCATGCCTAAAGGTCTGACAGATCAGCTCAGAATAAATCATGATGCTGCACCTATAAGGTCACTCACCGTCATTTCTCTGAAGACGGTCTTATTATAAAGCTCTGGCACAAAAACATGCAGATGATTCCTTCAAGGACTGCTCAGCATTTATTTATGCTTTTAAAGTCCTAAACCCATCAATAAAGGGCAAACGTTTGTTTTATTTATTTCTAACTAATACAATTTTCAATAAAAAAAAAAATAGTTTCATTGTTTTGCTGTGCAACATATCAAGTTATTTATTAATTTTAATTGTTTTATTAGTAAGAGAATAACTTGCATTTTGGATTTAGTAAATATATTTTCCAGTTTAGGAAACTTCCTAAAGTCATTGCAAGAGTTGACAGAAACATGTAGTACTTTTAAAAATCAGAATTAGATTATTTCTTATTTGACTGATGAGCTAATGGCTAGTCCTAACATGGTCAACACTACAGTGGACTAATGATAAAACAGCTTCAGTCTCCAAAATTCATCTTGGTTCATGTAAACACTGAGACTTTTATACAATTCATTTAACACAGGAGTCATAAAATTCCTGCAGTGACTTCAGCCACTTCAGAAACTCTACAGCCAACTGCTGCTGCCACTGCCTCTTTCAAATACCCAGAGAACTCCAGTAGAGTGTGTTATACATTTAACTATATACAACTTTTGCTGTCCACTTTGGTCTTAGCTGTCTTTGGACTAGTCATAAGCTCATCAGCCCTGTCAGAAGTAAATTAAACACTTTTTCTCTCATACTGACGTTTGTCAAAGGGCTATCTACAGCAGGTGAGATGTTATTTGTTCATAACGTTTTACAGAACCGCAGTTTGAAGTTGCCAAACAAGCTTTTAAGGAGTGACAGACAAATGAGAGGAGCTACAGACTCCTGTGATCGGTGTCTGACCAGACTTATTCTCAGAGAGTCAGAGTCACTTTATTGTCATTCGCACCTCATGTGGTACATGTGGTGGAGCGAAATTATGTACACGGGGTCCCAGTTACATCCAACAATAAAATGTCTAAGAAAAACAGTAATAACATCTAAGATATGAACTAAGAAAAACATCAACTAAATATACACTAAGCACTCATAACATAAAACATTGAACATCAGCACAAACATGAACATGAGTCTGTGAGCAGATGTGCACGCATGAACACATCAACATTGAAACAGATCAGCAGCAACATGAAACAGATCAGCAGCAACATGATATGGTTTTTCACAGTGATTATTCTAGTTAGAGATTCATGAGTCTAACAGCCTCAGGGTAGAAGCTGTTCCTCAGTCTAGTGGTTCTACACTTAATGCTCCTTAACCTCCTTCCTGAGGGGAGTGGGGCAAAAAGTGTGTGTGCTGGGTGGGTGGGGTCCTTCATGATGCAGGTGGCCCTCTTCCTGCATCTGGAGGTGTAGATGTCTGTGATGGTGGGGAGACTGATTCCAACAGATTTCTGTGCAGCCTTCACCACTCTCTGCAAAGCTTTTCTTTCTGCAGCTGTGCAGCCTCCATGCCACACATTGATGCTCGAGCACAGGATGCTCTCCACTGCACACCTGTAGAAGGAGGTGAGGACTGAGCTTCCCAGACCAGCTCGCCTCAGCCGTCTGAGGAAGTAGAGTCTCTGATGAGCTTTCTTGATCAGGCTGGTGGTGTTGTTGCTCCAGCTGAGGTTGTCATTCATGTGTACACCCAAGTACTTGTAGCTGAAGACCACTTCCACCGCAGATCCTCTTATGTTCAGGGGGGTGTAGGTGTTTTTGTTCCTTCTGAAGTCCACATTCTGTGAGCTCATCTGAAATCTGTTCCTGTTCTCCTGATCATGTTTCTTGTCACATACCTTCAGGCTGTCAGCTGAATATCTTTTTGTTTTTTAGGGTCTTCTCGCAATGTTTGTCTGAGGAAAGCTGTGATAAGCCTCAATATAATGACTTTTTTTCATGGGTGTGTGTGGAAGCTTGTGAAGATTTAAGGCTTTCTTTTGTGTGGCTCAGGCTGAGCCATGTGGCCATCTGGCTCCCAGCCAACATGGCCTCTGGCAGCTAAACTGGACTTGAGTTTGTCCCAAGCTGTGTTCTGAATAACTGTTGCTGATAGGTGCTGGTTCAGAACAAGCTCTGACTGTAGCCAAATGCTTTATATGTTCTGAAAAATATTTGAATCTAATTTAGTTTCTGGCGCAAATCAAAGCTTGTGAAAGGAAGCAGTGAGTTCGTACTCTGCAGAGCACACGGTTTCATTTACTGGATCTGAGAGATGAGCTTGTTATTTCAGTTCATTGGGTTCTCAGGGGGGCAGCACGGTGGCGCAACTGGTAGAGCTGCTGCCTCTCAGCGAGCAGGTCCTTGGTTCAAACCCTGGTCCAGGGGCCTTTCTGGGTGGAGTTTGCATGTTCTCTCCGTGCATGCGTGGGTTTTCTCCGGGTTCTCCGGTTTCCTCCCACAGACCAAAAACATGCATGTTAGGCTGATTGGTAACTCTAAATTGTCCCTAGGTGTGAGTGAGAGAGTGAATGTTTGTTTGTCTCGTTTGTCTCTATGTGGCCCTGTGATGGACTTGCGACCCGTCCAGGGTGTACCCCGCCCCTCGCACAGTGATTGCTGGACATGGGCACCGGCGACCCCCGTGA